CTGTTGTCCCTCTGATCATCACCCTCTTTAAAGATCTTCCCCTCATCCATCGTCTCACGAGACTCTCTATATTGCTTGTCTAAATGATCATCAGTGTGTGCAGTGGGTCCCAGGGTTTGTGTGATGTCAGTACCATGTGTCTTCTCAACTGAGGGGAGGTTTGTGAAATCCAAATCAAGGCTTGGTACTTGAGAGGTGCCACTGCCATGCTCCCCCTCAATCGGGAGAAGGGTAGTCGTGTCAAACTCCAGTTCTGCATCTTATGCAGCTCCAACTTGAGCTTAGATACATCATTTTTAAGTTGAGGCATATTCCCAACTCCCCCTCATTCAACCTTCTCAAGGCGAGCTTCAAATTGTTTGAATCGATCTTCATATGATAGATGTTGCTTTTGAAGATCACTTACTGAGGTTTGGAGCGGGGTCATTGATTGTCGGATGAGTGATGGATGTTCTATTGTAAGTTTGTCTACTTTGGCATTTGCATGTTGTGTTAGTAGACCAAGCTTGGAAATTGCTGGCAGTGAGACATATGGTGTAGTAGCGGTTAGCCTGGGAGTAGATGTGGAGGTACCTCGTGTTGAAGAAGTGTCTGGCCCTGACAAGGTAGCAGGTGCTGCTGAAATGAACGAGGCTGGAGAGAGAGTGGCCGATTTTTCTAGTTGATATGCATTCTTCGAAGTATTATTGTACCTAGTGAAGTCAATATCCAGAGAAGCTTTTACGATTCGGTTATATTTGGGGCTTGAAGGAACCTCTACGGCTTCACACAAAGCATGGATTAACAATGGAAAGAGGAGCGAAGTTTCTTTCTTGTTTGGCCGGACCCAAATCTCAGGGAATATGAGTTGTCCCAAGTCAATATTGAAACCCGACAAGATGGAAGCAATGAGGATCGCATTCTTTAGACTGATGTCGGTCTCATTTCTCGTTGGCAGTATATGAGAACAGATAAAACTTAGGCAATACCAGTTTTCTTGGGATAAATCCCTCTTGTGAATCTTCTGGCCTGGTGCAATCCAGGGTGGAGTTCCCTTGGCCATGAAAGAGGCTATCCGAGTACGCTCAACTTGCTTATTTGCAATTTTTGCATCATATTCTTCCATACCTAATTCCCAAGTTCCGAAAAATAGTTGATTGATTGATTGGGGACCATAAGATATTTCAACTCCTGAAACTGTGACAGAGGTCTGGTACACACGACGCTTAGCTTGTTCTTTGGCCATTGATACGACATATGCAGCATTAAACTACCTAATAATTGTCTCGTTATATTCCCCTGGAACATCAGTGAAGAACTCCCATCCCCTCTTCTGGATGTTTTCTAGCACATGGGGGTAGTGTACTTTAAGGCCGTTCACACTCAACTACTTTTCTTCAATGAACTTTCTTTTTACCAAGCCTTCTTTGTATCTGTTTCAAGAGCCGGTGATCTGAAACCTAGGATCCTTACCACTCATTATACGTGTTTCGACGTGGAGGTCAACTGGTGACACAATGTTAAGCCATGCCTCCTCCTTTTCAGATTGGGAAACATGCTCAGATGAATTTCCGGATGTACCGGGACTTTTGTGTTGAGATTGCTGTGATTGTGGACTTATAGATGCAGCACATCTCTTTCCTCATGTGGTGGATGCTCTCGATGCTAGGGCTTTTTTTGGTGACATTCCTTCCAATTAAAGTGAAGTAAGCACATGGTAATGCATTTGCAACATATGGAAAAGAAGGGAAAGACTAAACATTTTCTGCAAAACACTTATGCGATCGCAGAATAGATCTGCGGACTGCAAAGTGCACCGCAAAATGTACCCTTTCAGAAATAAGAATTAGTGTGGACATCAGAAGTGGTTGCAGAACTCATCAGCGACTGCAGATCAAATGTATTTTGAACCTTGATAAATGGCATGCATCTGTTGATGTCTGCGTCGGATATGCGTTCTGCAGACCAATTATGCGGCTGCAGACTCAACCGCATAATTGGTTCCACAAACACACAAGCATACAAGTACGCGATGATTCTGCGGACCACAAATCCATTATGCGGACCGCAGAGATAATCTTTACCACATAAAATTTACCCACATCCAACTTTGTGCAAACCATGATCTTCTATCCTACACAGCCTATGCACCATTTTAACAAAACAACTACACACACTCAATATTAGATCGATTTCATGATCAGCCTAACAATACCCAATGTACAACGACAATTACAACACCCACAAGCACAAATTAGTAACCCTAACTCTAACCCCTTTATTTTTATTGTATAGCAGAAATTCTTCCTCCCAAATAAAACTCCCAGTACAAGAAACAAAGATTCAAGGTAGAGGGAGAAGGGTGTCGTGGAGAAGAGGGAAGAATGAGTCAAGTAAGAAAAACAAAATTTTCAAATAACCTGAGCAAGAGGAGGGGCGAAATTACATACCAGATCGTGGGGAAATGGAGCACTTGGGTGTGAATCTTCATACCAAGGTGAGTTGAGTGTACAAGCCTTTCTTCTACTTTTTTTTCACTTTCTTGTGTTTTTATTTTGTATTTTGTTTTCATTTCTCTGTGTGTGAAATTAGAGTAGGGAGATGGATGTGGGAGAGAGAAGGATACGAGGGTTTAATACCTGAGGAATGTGCGGTGAAATTTCTGTTGCTAAACAGCTTCCGCGGTGGCAGAGGTGTTTTGCCATGGTTTAGTAGCTGGGTGGAGTGCAACAGATGTGCGACCCACTTTGCGGTCGCATAACTGTATTGCGGGATGCAAAATTTAAATTTTTTGTGCATATATAAGGGCCACTTATCATGATGCTTTGTTGATGTATGCGACCCGTTTTCTGTCCGCAAACCTATTATGCGGCCGCATATACGATTGCAAAATAAGAGCTAAAAATCAGTTCACTTTTCTTCCTTTTTCCTCTGCTTATGCATCCTATTTCTTTGCATTTTGAGTACCATGCACTCTAAAATACGCACGTCAAACTGTTCAATAATTATAAATAAACCTACAAACATAAAAATATTACCAAAAACGTCAACAACACATGGGTTGCCTCCCAAAAAGTGCTTGATTTAACATCGCGGCTTGAAGATCAGTGGTGGAGGTTGGTGTAGGACCATCTTTGAGTTTGAATTGTTCTACAAGTTTCCTTTCTCCAATGGTTTCAGGGTAATGCTTCACCCTTTGGCCATTTACTTTAAAATTGTGAGTCCCATCCTCGGAAGACACACTAACAACTTTGAATAGCAGCATAGGAAGACACACTAACAACTTTGAATGGGCCAAACCATTTGGATTTGAGTTTCCCGAAAAAAACTTCAACCTTGAGTTGAAGAGTAAGACTAAGTCACCGGATTTTAATTCCTGCTTCAAGATCATCTTTTCATGTACAAACTTCAGTCTTTATTTATACACGGCTGCATTCTCATAGGTATGGAAACAGAACTCTTCCATCTCTTTGAGTTGTGTCATCCTTAGATTAGCAGCTTCGGCCCACTCAAGATGTAACTTTTTCGACGCCCACATGGCTTTGTGTTCAAGCTCCACTGGCGTGTGACAAGCCTTACTAAAAACCAACCAATAAGGTGAGATGCTGATGGATGTCTTAAATGTTGTTCGATAAGCCCACAACGCATCATCTAACTTCTTTGACCATTCGGTCATGTTTGCATTAACAGTTTTTGATCTCTCTATTGGAGACTTCAACTTGACCGCTTGACTGAGGATGATAAGGGGTGGACACCTTGTGCTTAACTGCATATTTCTGGAGTAGCCCGGCAAAAGCTTTGTTGCAAATGTTAGAACCACATCAGTGAGAATGGCCCTTGGGGTCCCAAATCAAGTAAATATGTTCTTCTTTAAGAAGGCAATTACACTCCTCGCCTCATTGTTTGTCAAGGCAACTGCATTGACCTATTTTGAGACATAATCTACTGCTACCAAGATATATGTCATGCCGTAGGAGCTTACAAAGGGACCCATAAGATCTATCCCTGACACTTAAAGATCTCTACCTCCATCAAAAAAATTCATAGGCATCTCATGTCTTCTAGAAATTGACCTTTGTCTTTGACATTGATCAAACGCCTTGACCATTAGGTTTGCGTCATGGTAGATTGTTGGCCATTAATAACAACATTCAAGCACTTTTTTCGCTGTACGTTTTCCACCATGGTTAACCCCAACTGGAGAGTCATGACATGCTTTGAGAATTTGAGTCAGCTCATATTCAGGAACACGACGCCGAATGATGTTGTCGGCGTAAATCCGGAATAAAAAGGGTTCCTCCCAATAGTATTGCCTACAATCCCTCAAGAACCTTTTCTTTTGATAAGCTTCCAATTCATCTAGGGATAAGGTCACTAACCAAGAAGTTAGCGATGTCGGCATACCAAGGAGTTAAGGCGCTAGATATTGCGAAAAGGTGTTCATCTGGTAAGGCATCATTAATTTCAAGATCTTCTTTTGGTCTCCCTGCCTCTTCAAGTCTAGATAAGTGATCCGCATTCTCTTTTCCTTTCCGATCTTTGACTTCAAAGTTAAACTCTTGTAACAAAAGAACCCACCGAATCAATCTCGGTTTAGCATCTTTCTTAGCCATAAGGTAGTGGAGAGCATCATGATTGGTGTAGACTATCACATTGGATCCCAACAAATAGACCCCGAAATATTTTGAAAGCATAGACAATGGCAAGCAGTTTTGCTCAGTTACGGTGTAATTCATTTGTCCGCCATTTAGTGTCTTGCTTGCATAGTAGATATGATGAAGAATCTTGTTGTGCCATTTACCAAGTACTTCCCCAATGGCCATACCACTGGCGTCATACATGAGTTCAAATGGAAGAGGCCAATCGGGTGTGACAATAATAGGTGTCGTGGTGATCCTTGCTTTCAATTCCTCAAAAGCTTTGAGGCACTTCTCATCAAACACAAATTTAGCGTCCTTTTCAAAGAGCTTGAATATAGGACTTGCAAGGCATTCTTCTTACATATTTATCTCAACGGCATCCTATACAACATTAACAACATCAATGACTGAGATAATCTCGTATACATTTGGCAATTTCATACCCTCACTTGCTTGAAAGGTAACTTCTTCATCATTAAACCGGATTTTAATCTCATTTCTTTCCGATTCCATGAGTGCTCTCCCGGTAGCAAGGAATGGTCTCCCCAATATGATAGTAATCTCTTTATCAATAGCACAATCAAGAATAAAAAAGTCGGCGGGGAGGAGAAACTTCCCCACTTTCACAAGCACATCATCCACTATCTCCACCGGTCGCTTTATCGAATGGTCGGCCATTTGCAACCTCATACTTATAGGCCTAGGCATTCCCAATCCCGCTTGATTGTAGATAGATAGAGGAATTAAGTTTATGCTAGCCCCATTATCATAAAGAGCTCGTGCAAAGTCACGCAATCCAATAGTGCATGGAATGGTGAAAGACACCGAGTCCTCATTCTTTGGACGGCGGTAGTTGCAATGATGGAGCTAACCCGGTGGGCGACACTCATCACTTAATTTTTGATGGTTTTATTTTTAATGATCAAGTACTTCAAGTACTTAGCAAAATGCGACATCTTTTGAAATGCTTCCACAAACGGAATGTTCACTGATAATTGCTTTAGGATGTCATAGAACTTCTCCAGTTTGCTATCATCAACCCTTCTAGCTAGTCTTCTAGTGAAAGGAGGGGGAGGTCTAGGAATTGATGCTAGAGGTTTTGGTGCCTGTATTACCTTTTCTTCATCCTTTTTACGACTCACTTCCTTTTGATCTTTCACCTTCTTCGGGAGTCTTTCAAATTCAACAACATTTGGCATCTCAACTTACGCCTCATCTTCTTGTTCAAATTCTTTCACTTCGACGACTCGTTCATTCTCATTTTGAAGTAGTTTCCCACTTCGAGTTGTAATGGCCATATAATGAGAGGTTGGGCCACTCCCACTACCTTTTGGGTTTGCAATTGCATCATTTGGGAGCATGCCTTTTTACCTCGGGTTTTGTTCTCTTGATAAATCCCTCATTTGCATCTCCAACTTTTGAATAGATGCGATGTGAGAACCCACAAGCTCGGTCATATTTTTCATTGAAGTGTCGTACCTTTCTTGGTTTTGCAATATTCTTCCAAGCATGTTTTCCAACTTGGAATCACTTGAAGAACTCTCCTTCCAATGTAGAAACTTAGATATTGCCCCTTTGGTGGAACATAGGGGTTTGAACTCCGATTTGAAAATTTGTTGTTCTTGTTACTCCAATTTCCTTGATTTGAACTACCTTGGTCATTTCTCCATTATTGGTTACCTTGCCCTTGCGGGTTAGGTCTCCATTGGTGTTGTTGTCCCGAGCCTTGGTAGTGTTGTCTTTGATACACTCCTTGTGAATTGTTCACATAATTTGCTTCTTCGTATTCCTCATTTGACATTGGTTGCACATCTTCCACAACATTCAAATTCTTTATTTGGCTTTCAGTGAACATTTATGTCAACATGTTGACATTGGTAGCAAACCTGGCAATTACTTGATCTCGTTCTTGATTCTCATTAATCACGTTGGTCAAGAAAGGAGTACCATATGCAATTCCACTCGTGGTGTCTTTCGAATGCCAAGATTGGTTATGTTCGGCCATCTTGTCGAGGATCTGTGTGATCCTTGCAAATGTTTTACCCATGAATGATCCATCCGCCGAATGTTAGGCTATAGATTGATTCATAGGATCCAAGCCCATGCAAAACTTCTCCAACAAAATAGTGTCCGGAAACCTATGATTTGGGGATCTCACCAAATATAGCTTGAATCTAGCCAATGCCTCATGTAGGTGTTCCCCCGGTAATTACTTGAAGAATAAAATTTTATCTCGAAGCTCAAACCTCTTGCTTTGTGGGAACCATTTAGCTAGGAAAGCTCGGACAAGTTCGGCCAAGTGTGGATAGAATTAGGAGGTAGATTTTGGATCCACTGTCTTGCCTCTCCGACTAAAGAGTATTTGAACACCCTCAACCTTAGGGCATCATCCGAGTCATGATTCTACTTATCCATTGCACACACACCCAAAACGTTTCTGAGATATTGTGTCGAATCATCGTCGGTGGAATTTGGGAAGAACCCCTATGCCTTTAGCATTAGGATTAGACTGTGTTCCACTTTGACGGTAGCAATGTCATCTCTAGGAGGGAAAATGGCATTTGTATCTCCAATATATTCATCTATATCAGTAAGCACATTCTCTTCTTCCGGCTCGCTCATGTTTACCTAATGACACCAAGCAAAGTAAGCAAAGTGTGATGGAATAGAAGAAGGCGCAAAGTAAAGCACACACTAGTTAGTACTTCAAAACTGTATTCCCCGGCAATGTCGTCAAAATTTGATATGCTAAAATTACACATATATAAATTGTGTAAGGCAGTCGATGTCAAAGATTACTTGAGTACTATGCAAGCCGTAATTCTACTCCGTTAGTTTGAAAGGAGTTTTACAATTTTGATTTGTTAAGAAAAGCTATTTTTTTAAGAGAATTGATTACTTTGATCAAGGAACCAAGGTTGTTTCCCCATCAATGGAATGTAATGCTATCGGTAATAATATTATATATTTCTAATGCACGGTCCTTTGATATGCAAATGGTCCTAAATTACTACCCAATATTTCTCAATAATTAGGTAGTATTTCCTCTTTATGATTTTCCAAATATAAAATAGTTATTATTAAGAAGAACCAATTTATGCCAAGTAGTACCCACTTATTCCCAAGCGATTCATTTAACAAGGTTTAAAGCCTTGAATTCTTGCTTTTCACTTCTACCAAACCTATAACCCATTTTTCCTAGTAAAGATAGAGTAAAATGGCACTAGTCAATGTTTGCAACCATCAACCATAAATGAAGTATGAGAAATGAATAGAAATCAACCAACAATTATATATATATTTAATGGTAAACACCCATTAACATTAAACCCACTTAGGGTTCACAACCTTCGTATTTAAAGTTAGCTACTCATACTAGAATACAAGAACAAAGCAATAAATAAAGTCATAAAATCTTACAAAGAGGACAAAGTCTTGGAATCTCTCCCGAAAGCTCCAAAATAATGGTGTATTCAATGCTCTATGTGTAGCTTCTTTTTCAGACCATCTGGTCCACAAAAACCCTAGTCATTCTATTTATAACGGCTCAAAAGTCGTGGACAAAATGTAACAAAAATGACCCTGCAGATTAAGTCCACGACCACAGAATGGGCCGCAGAAAGCGTTCAATGACCGCACATCTTCATCCGCGCCGCAGATTTAATCACAAAGTTTTCCAGTTTTTCCTCGCATATTGATTACACGGTCCGCATACTGATTTCATGGACACATAGTGTACCGCAAAATTATCTACACTGGAAGCCCTCTTGCATTTGTGCAACAACTACGCGGTCCACACAAGTGTTGTGCGATTGCATAATGAACCGCAGATTTCAATCTCTGATAATAGGATTGTCTGTTTAGCATTGCGATGCGTCTGCGGTCCACACATCACTTCTGCAGTCGTAGACTTGTCACATATCTTCTTTTTCATGGGTTTTTGTCATCTTTTTCTTGTTCTTGGTTCTTCAAGTTCGGTTATTTTCGTTCTAGAAAACCATGCTTATCTGTTGATTTTTGTGACTCTTCTATTCATGATATACTTTATTGTTCAGTTGTTTAATGTAAAGATCCGATCAGTTGTTTTATGTAATTGCGTCCCGTTACCCCCTATTTATGCTTCACCCATGTGTGTTTATGATTTTATGACTTGCGGGGTCAGTTAGTTTTGTTTCGGGAAGCTTTCGTGTTGATTTGTACCCTTTGATTCTTGACTTAGAAGTTTAAATTATAAATGTTGACCAAACATTGACTTTTATGAAAACAATCTCGGAACGGTATTTTGATGGCTCCGATAACTTCGTATCCTGATTTCGGACTTGGGCCTATGCGCAGAATTGATTTCGGTAGTCCGTAGGTTGATTTGTTTTGCTGAGATTTGGCAATTTGAAGTTGAAAATTTTGACCGTAGGTTGACTTTTAGCTATCTAGCTCGGAATTTTATTTTGGGACTTGGAATAGGTCGGTTATGCTATCTAGAACTTGTCTGCAAAATTTTGTACCATTTGGAGTTGAGTTGTTAGGATTCAGAAGTCTAGTTGTAATTTTAGAGATTCTTGAATTTTAATTTGAAATTCATGCATTTTAATGTTCGATTCGTAGGTCTAGATGTTATTTTTGGGTTTTGATCACGCGAGCGAGTTCGTATGATATTTTTAGACTTGTGTGGGTGTTTGGTTTGGAGCCTCGAGGGCTCAGATGACTTTCAGACAAGTATCAGAATGGTTTCGAACTGAATGTGTGTTGCTGGTGTTGCTGGTACTCAGTTATTGCAATTACGAGCACTAGCCTCACAATTGTGAAGCTGATAGTGGAGGCTCAGGTGTCGCAATTGCGACTACCCCTTCCCATTTGCGATGTCAGCAGGAGCTTAGCTAGGTCCGCATAAACAAACAATGGTTCGTTTTTTCAATTATGTCCAGCTTTGCAATTGCGATGATGCCTGAGGTTGTCAGGGTTCACAAATGTGATCTTTGGTCTGCAATTGCGGGGGTTAAAAAATGCGACGAGCAATAAGGACAGAAGGAGTTACTACATTATTCTTCTACTGGTTCTTGAGAGTAAATTGTATACTTCATTCTATCCGGTCGTTAAGAAGTGTTGTTAGATGCCACCCTTGATTAGTATATTGATGTGATCAATTTACTAACAGCTTAGTATTGAATCTATGGGGTCGCACAGTAACGAGTGTCCAGATCTTTGCTAAAGGATTAATTATTTTGTTATTTGATAATGAAACTAAAGAATTTAATTATTCAAATAAATTAATTTATTAGTCCAAATGAAATATTATCATATTCTTTGCCTACACAAAGGATATAATTAATATTGTGAACTAATTGAAGTTTTCTATTTGGAATAGAAAATTAAATTATCTCTTGGTTGAAATATATATGTGATACATATTGTAACGACCCCAATTTCCCACCTTAGAATGTCGTGAAGGCACTTAGTCTCTTAGACTAGGTTAGCCTAACATTCATTGATCGCTTAACCGAAATAACAAACTAAGATAATAAAAATAAACCAATAAAGGTCATAATAACTCTAGAACGGAACATCAATAACAAAATTTCCATAACCAATGGAACTAATTCATAAGCTCTACAGAATGTACTAAAATCTCTAATAAAACATTGTCTAATAATATCATAAACAGTAATAAAAGAAATAACAGAAGGTGACTCCAAGGCCTGCGAGCGTCGAGCAAGTATACCTTGAAATATCTGAAAATAATAGTACGATCACTGGCATCCGGTACAAGCAAGTGTACATGGAACTACACAAACATGTGCACAAGCATAGCATGAGTACACCACAACGGTACCCAGTAAGTATCAAGCCTAACCTCGGTAGAGTAGTGACGAGGCCAGGTCAAGACACCTACTAGGGCAAGAAAACTGAACAGAATATAGTATAGTCTAATAATGGAAAGAGAGGAAATAAATGACAATAAAGCAATGCCATAATATAAGCTAACAACGAAATTTTAGGCGGTAAAGGCAACAAGAAGTGATCACATGATGAGAACAACAAGTAATCAAATACGGACAAATACAAGTAAGATAATAAAGAAACAACAAGAACTGTTCAACCAACAAGCCTTTTTAACATAGAATGTACAACAAGAATCACAACCGAGATACAACTCCTCATAACCTCATTTCACAAATCACAATCACAATCTTTCTTATATCAC